GTCCCTCGTCTTCCACTGGTCCACATGTCCCTCGTCTTCCACTGGTATGCATGTCCCTCGTCTTCCACTGGTCCACATGTCCCTCGTCTTCCACTGGTATGCATGTCCCTCGTCTTCCACTGGTCCACATGTCCCTCGTCTTCCACTGGTATGCATGTCCCCTCGTCTTCCACTGGTCCACATGTCCCTCGTCTTCCACTGGTATGCATGTCCCTCGTCTTCCACTGGTCCACATGTCCCTCGTCTTCCACTGGTATGCATGTCCCTCGTCTTCCACTGGTCCACATGTCCCTCGTCTTCCACTGGTATGCATGTCCCTCGTCTTCCACTGGTCCACATGTCCCTCGTCTTCCACTGGTATGCATGTCCCTCGTCTTCCACTGGTCCACATGTCCCTCGTCTTCCACTGGTATGCATGTCCCTCGTCTTCCACTGGTCCACATGTCCCTCGTCTTCCACTGGTATGCATGTCCCTCGTCTTCCACTGGTATACATGTCCCTCGTCTTCCACTGGTCCACATGTCCCTCGTCTTCCACTGGTATGCATGTCCCTCGTCTTCCACTGGTCCACATGTCCCTCGTCTTCCACTGGTATGCATGTCCCTCGTCTTCCACTGGTCCACATGTCCCTCGTCTTCCACTGGTATGCATGTCCCTCGTCTTCCACTGGTCCACATGTCCCTCGTCTTCCACTGGTATGCATGTCCCTCGTCTTCCACTGGTCCACATGTCCGTCGTCTTCCACTGGTATGCATGTCCCTCGTCTTCCACTGGTATGCATGTCCCTCGTCTTCCACTGGTATGCATGTCCCTCGTCTTCCACTGGTCCACATGTCCCTCGTCTTCCACTGGTATGCATGTCCCTCGTCTTCCACTGGTCCACATGTCCCTCGTCTTCCACTGGTATGCATGTCCCTCGTCTTCCACTGGTCCACATGTCCCTCGTCTTCCACTAGTATGCATGTCCCTCGTCTTCCACTGGTCCACATGTCCCTCGTCTTCCACTGGTATGCATGTCCCTCGTCTTCCACTGGTATGCATGTCCCTCGTCTTCCACTGGTCCACATGTCCCTCGTTTTCCACTGGTATGCATGTCCCTCGTCTTCCACTGGTCCACATGTCCCTCGTCTTCCACTGGTATGCATGTCCCTCGTCTTCCACTGGTCCACATGTCCCCTCGTCTTCCACTGGTATGCATGTCCCTCGTCTTCCACTGGTCCACATGTCCCTCGTCTTCCACTGGTATGCATGTCCCCCGTCTTCCACTGGTCCACATGTCCCTCGTCTTCCACTGGTCCACATGTCCCTCGTCTTCCACTGGTTCGCATGTCCCCCGTCTTCCACTGGTCCACATGTCCCTCGTCTTCCACTGGTCCGCATGTCCCCCGTCTTCCACTGGTCCGCATGTCCCTCGTCTTCCACTGGTCCACATGTCCCTCGTCTTCCACTGGTCCGCATGTCCCCGACTTGCACTGGTCCGCATGCCCCCGACTTGCACTTGTCCGCATGCCCCCGACTTGCACTGGTCCGCATATCCCCGACTTGCACTGGTCCGCATATCCCCGACTTGCACTGGTCCGCATGCCCCCGACTTGCACTGGTCCGCATATCTCCGACTCGCACTGGTCCGCATGTCCCCGACTTGCACTGGTCCGCATGTCCCCGACTTGCACTGGTCCGCATATCCCCGACTTGCACTGGTCCACATATCCCCGACTTGTACTGGTCCGCATATCCCCGACTTGCACTGGTCTGCATGTCCCCGACTTGCACTGGTCTGCATGTCCCCGACTTGCACTGGTCCGCATGTCCCCGACTTGCACTGGTCCGCATGTCCCCGACTTGCACTGGTCCGCATGTCCCCGACTTGCACTGGTCCGCATGTCCCCGACTTGCACTGGTCTGCATGTCCCCGACTTGCACTGGTCTGCATGTACCCGACTTGCACTGGTCTGCATGTCCCCGACTTGCACTGGTCCGCATGCCCACCGACTTGCCTGGTCTGCATGTCCCCGACTTGCACTGGTCTGCCTGTCCCCGACTTGCACTGGTCTGCATGTCCCCGACTTGCACTGGTCTGCATGTCACCGACTTGCACTGGTCTGCATGTCCCCGACTTGCACTGGTCCGCATGTCCCCGACTTGCACTGGTCTGCATGTCCCCGACTTGCACTGGTCTGCATGTCCCCGACTTGCACTGGTCTGCATGTCACCGACTTGCACTGGTCTGCATGTCCCCGACTTGCACTGGTCTGCATGTCCCCGACTTGCACTGGTCTGCATGTCCCCGACTTGCACTGGTCTGCATGTCACCGACTTGCACTGGTCTGCATGTCCCCGACTTGCACTGGTCCGCGTGTCACCAGCATAACGAGGATAATCTTCACAACATTATAGCTGTTACTGTTGTTTACCTCGTAGTGTTAAACCCACATGGGTCATTCAGTGCACATAGCGGTGGCGGCTCCAACCTTTGTAACAGAATCCTCAAACCAGTTCCAAAATCGATGAAAATAAGGTAATAATAACAGTAATAATATTAATGATAAAGTAATAATAATAATAATAATAATAATAATTTTATTATTATTAATATTGGAAAGCGCTGAGCCCATAATGGTTATACCGCGACTAAGGATTGAAAAAAAGTAAGGAGATGAGAAGAATATTTATATTTATACTGTTTGGTGGGCTTAGTATGTAAGTGGGAAGTCGCTAGACTCAACAGTAAGTCGCAGTAAGTCGCTAGCTCAGCGGTATGACGCTAGACTGCCGTAAGATGCTAGACTGCCGTAAAATGCTAGACTGCCGTAAACTAGATTCCGCCGTAAGCCGCTAGACTCTGCACAAGTCGCTAGACTCTGATTAAGACGCTAGATTTCGCCGTCGGATGCTAAACTAAACGTTACGTGGCGAAACTCTGCTCTTAATTCTGTACCAGAATAACTTACACTCGACCTTATAACTGTATCAGAACAACTTACACTCGACCTTATAACTGTATCAGAACAACTTACACTCGACCTTATAACTGTATCAGAACAACTTACACTCGACCTTATAACTGTATCAGAACAACTTACACTCGACCTTATAACTGTATCAGAACAACTTACACTCGACCTTATAACTGTATCAGAGCAACTTACACTCGACCTTATAACTGTATCAGAGCAACTTACACTCGACCTTATAACTGTATCAGAACAACTTACACTCGACCTTATAACTGTATCAGAACAACTTACACTCGACCTTATAACTGTATCAGAACAACTTACACTCGACTTATAACTGTATCAGAACAACTTACACTCGACCTTATAACTGTATCAGAACAACTTACACTCGACCTTATAACTGTATCAGAACAACTTACACTCGACCTTATAACTGTATCAGAACAACTTACACCGACCTTATAACTGTATCAGAACAACTTACACTCGACCTTATAACTGTATCAGAACAACTTACACTCGACCTTATAACTGTATCAGAACAACTTACACTCGACCTTATAACTGTATCAGAACAACTTACACTCGACCTTATAACTGTATCAGAACAACTTACACTCGACCTTATAACTGTATCAGAACAACTTACACTCGACCTTATAACTGTATCAGAACACCCTTTCACTCGCCTTATAACTGTATCAAAACAACTTTTCACTCGACCTTATAACTGTATCAGAACAACTTACACTCGACCTTATAAAATGTTTTCAGAACAACTTACACTCGACCTTATAACTGTATTAGAACAACTTACACTCGACCTTATAACTGTATTTAGAACAAATTTACACTCGACCTTATAACTTTTATCAAACAACTTACACTCGACCTTATAACTGTATCAGAACAACTTACACTCGAACTTTATAACTATCGAACAACTTTCACTCGACCTTATAACTGTAAGAACAACTTACACTCGACCTTATAACTATCAGAACAACTTACACTCGACCTTATAACTATCAGAACAACTTACACTCGACCTTATAACTATCAGAACAACATACACTCGACCTTATAACTATCAGAACAAATACACTCGACCTTATAACTTTTCCCGAACAACTAGAACAACGTACACTCGACCTATAACTGAAAACAACTTACACTCGACCTATCACGTATCAAACAACTTACACTCGACCTTATAACTGTATCAGAACAACTTACACTCGACCTTATAACTGTATCAGAACAACGTACACTCGACCTTATAACTGTATCAGAACAACGTACACTCGACCTTATAACTGTATCAGAACAACTTACACTCGACCTTATAACTGTATCAGAACAACGTACACTCGACCTTATAACTGTATCAGAACAACGTACACTCGACCTTATAACTGTATCAGAACTTACACCCGACCTTATAACTGTATCAGAACAACGTACACTCGACCTTATAACTGTATCAGAACAACGTACACTCGACCTTATAACTGTATCAGAACAACGTACACTCGACCTTATAACTGTATCAGAACAACTTACACTCGACCTTATAACTGTATCAGAACAACGTACACTCGACCTTATAACTGTATCAGAACAACTTACACTCGACCTTATAACTGTATCAGAACAACTTACACAATGTCCGGTTATGTACTCGAATATTTGTCTTCTCTCTTCAATTTCGTCAATATTACAACGATATGAGTTTATTAAAATAAGTCGAAACTGATTAGGATCTAAACACTGCACTGCTCCTATTGGAACAACGTTTCGCCCTCTTAGAGCTTTTATTAAGTCTTGATAAAGTTCTTCACAGGGTGAAACATGATAAAGCTCTGCACAGAGTGACATGGTGTGTCAGGGAGTGTGTAGTAGTATCAGACACAAGCAGCAGACATGTTGTCAAGGAGTGCAGGAAACAAGCAAACATGACGTGTCAAGGGGTGTCAGACACAAGCAGGGATGTACGGTGCCTGGCACTAAAGTACTTCCTTCTCTCTCTCTCTCCTCCAGGAATCATCACAGTTCTGGATGCAAAGTACGCAGAGAAGGTAGGTCGTTCTCGTGTCTTACTGGCTCCCACGAGCAGCACCTTCATGCTGCTCAAAGACTCCCGGGTGAGGGAATACAAAACATACTTCCCTTGATTCAGATGTGATTGCTTCTCATTTCCCAGCCGCTGCATGACCTCCTCTCGGGCTTTACACTTTAAAATAATAATTTTCAGTTTCACCTGCTTAAATTTACTAGTTACTCTTATACATATGTATATTTGTATTATACATTGAGAGAGATATTTCAGTCACTTTTCTTTTTAATTTTCGCTACAGCAAATTAGCATCATGCACTCAACTTCCTAAAGCTGACGTAAAATAATTAAGCTTAATCTGACTCATCTAACTTTAGGCCAACTTAAATATAGTTAGTATTATTTAATGTCAGTGCAGTATGTTGATTCCTGTGAGGTTAAGATTGATAGAGTTACTACAAAAATCAGTGTACACTCGACTGGCTTAGATGACACTGTGTTTGCTTTTCAGAACCTCAACGAGAAGAAGCCAGAAGGTGTTGTCAACGAGGCAGTCAAGTGAGTGAGACAGAGAATGAGAATGAATGAATGAGAGAATGAGAATGGGTGAGAGAATGGGAATGAATGAGGAAGAGAATGAAAAAGAGAGAGAATAATAATGAGAATTTCTCCTCCTGTTGAGGAATGGCTTTACCAGCTAAGTTTAAAGAGTTTTTACTTAGAAAGACAGCTCATCGCCTGCACAGCCGCCCCTGCAGACGAGGTCTTGAGAAGCTGTCGAAGTCATCTCTCAACGGGCTGTAAAGATTTATAATTTGTAAGATTATAAATTACCCCTAGGGGGTGTTATGTCAGCATATTTCATTCACTGATGGCTGACAAACTTACTTGTGTGGACTCAAAAGTCCGCCCCTTACTGCCGACTATAGGTTGATTACAAACTCCTTGCGACTCAAGAACTGCGCAGTCCCCCGTACGACAAGAAATTCGTAACCTACCTTGCTCTTGTAGCGTGAGCTATGGTGTTCTTCACACCTTCGACAGATATGGGTGACTTGATAGAAGCTGAAGTGTCCTTGGATGTCCACGTCTTCCATAGTCTAGGAAAACACACACTGGTACACTATGTTCCACAAGATTTGTCTTTATTGTTCACAATCTTATCACTAAAGAAGCTGATCACACTTCTCTTAAGTGTTTATTGTGTTTTGTGAGACACTTTGTTCTCACTAACGCACAGATCGTTCTTTGTTGGTTATCCTGGCGTCAGTGTCACTCTCAGTAGAGTCAAAAGTAATCTGAAGACACCACAGCACCCCATGCCGTCACTCCCCTAGCACAAAGAAAAGCTGACCTAGTACTTTTGCTTCCTTGCCACTTCCTCGATGAAGCAAAGCAGAATGTTTGATTCTTGCTGTCTTAAGCATAGACAACAATGTCCACTATCTTTACCATGGTAATAAAGTGGGAGCAGGATTTTCCTTAATTGTCCTGCTAAAGTAAGAGATGTACTGTCTCTTATTAAACTACACTTTGCAACACTGCAAGGAGCGGTGGTCACTTGACCACGTCGCATACTCGTACGGCATCTGTGATCAATTACTCACTGTAGCAGTAAACAAGACGCTTGCCCCTTCTGAGAGGGCTGGGCCCCTCAGGGCTGAAAGGGGCTGAAGGGGGCTGATACCCCCCTCCTGGAGAAAATTTCTCCACACCTCCCCTCATCTTTCCCGCAGACAGTTTCCAGGTCTAGTAACCAGGTCCTACTCTCACAAACAGTTGCCAGGTCACCTCCCATAGCTCCTGCATCTTTCTCCTCCCACAGACAGTTGCTAGGTCACCTCCCATAGTTGCCACGTCCTGCTTCTCCCACAGACAGTTGCCAGGTCACCTTCCATAGTTCCCACATCCTGCTTCTCTCACAGACAGTTGCCAGGTCACATTCCATAGTTCCCACATCCTGCTCCTCTCACAGACAGTTGCCAGGTCACATTCCATAGTTCCCACGTCCTGTTCAAGTAACTAGGTCTCTCTCCCCACAGACAAGTAGCGCTGGCTGACCTGCTCATCATCAACAAAACGGACTTGGTGGACGAAACGCAGCTCAAGGCTGTCACAGACCTCGTCAGGTGAGACCCTGGGGGTGAAGTTGAGAATGAGTAAGGAGGAAAGGGGAAGAGGAGAGGAACAGAGAACTGGAAAGATGGAAGAGGGAAATAATAATATTGTAATAATATAGAAGACTGTAGACATGATGTCCAAATAATAATCTGTTAGACTTATTACACACATTGAGGACACTGTTCTCTTAGCTTCAGATCACTGCTTACCAAAACTTTCAAGTCCTTTTCACATTCTATATGGTCAAGCTCTGTATTATTTGATTATTGGTGCTAGGGTTATTTACATTCCCGAGTATTAGGATTTTGTATCTATCTACGTTGAACTTCATCTGCCACTTTTCTGGTCACGACATGAGCTTGTCCGAATCCTGCTGAAGTTCAGTGGTATCTTTCTCTGAATATATTATTCTGTACCTATTTTTTGTATAGTCAGCAAATTTGCTAATATTGTTTGTTATTCCTTCGCCAAGGTCATTAATATAAAGTATGAACAACAGTGGGCCTGAAATTAATCCTTGTGGAACACCACTGTGACTGGTCCCCACCCTGATTTTGCCCCATTTACGCAGACTCTGCTTCCTATTGTGAGCCATACTTCGATCCATTATACAACCTTTTCGCTCCTTAACAGTCTGTGTGTGGTACTTTATCAATACTTTACTCAAATCAAAATAAACAATAACGTGTTCTTTAGCATGATCCATTGCTTCAAATGCTTTATTGAAGAGAGTCGGTAAATTAGGCAGGAACAGCCCCTTGTGAAACTGTGCTGAGTATTATGAATCAAATTTTGCTTGTCAAGGTGGCTTCCTATTAATTCACCTATAATTAATGTAACTAATAATTTGTTAACAGTTGAGGTGAGGCTTATTGGGCTGTAATTTGATGGGAATGATTTATCCCCTGATTTTAAAACAGGAATTATGTTATCCAAGGGTTTCAGTCTGGTACGTGCAGGTTATTTGTGTGCCATATTCCACCTCTCTGACACTATACTTGTTTGAAGTGATAAATAAAAAAGGCTAGTAAGTGATCCACTAAGTCGCACCTTGCACTCTCTAGGAATCCTTGGTAAGGTCATTGTGGCCTCAGAACTTAGTTTTAATCATTAGGAATCCTTGGTAAGGTCATCGTGGCCTTAGAACTTAGTTTTAATCACTAGGAATCCTTGGTAAGGTCATCGTGGCCTCAGAACTTAGTTTTAATCACTAGGAATCCTTGGTAAGGTCATCGTGGCCTCAGAACTTAGTTTTTAACACTAGGAATCCTTGGAAAGGTCATCGTGGCCTCAGAACTTAGTTTTAATCACTAGGAATCCTTGGTAAGGTCATTGTGGCCTCAGAACTTTGTTTTAATCATTAGGAATCCTTGGTAAGGTCATCGTGGCCTCAGAACTTAGTTTTAATCACTAGGAATCCTTGGTAAGGTCATCGTGGCCTCAGAACTTAGTTTTAATCATTAGGAATCCTTGGTAAGGTCATCGTAGCCTCAGAACTTAGTTTTAATCACTAGGAATCCTTGGTAAGGTCATCGTGGTCTCAGAACTTAGTTTTAATCACTAGGAATCCTTGGTAAGGTCATCGTGGCCTCAGAACTTAGTTTTAATCATTAGGAATCCTTGGTAAGGTCATCGTAGCCTCAGAACTTAGTTTTAATCACTAGGAATCCTTGGTAAGGTCATCGTGGCTCAGAACTTAGTTTTAATCATTTAGGAATCCTTGGTAAGGTCATCGTGGCCTCAGAACTTAGTTTTAATCATTAGGAATCCTTGGTAAGTTCATCGTGGCCTCAGAACTTAGTTTTAATCACTAGGAATCCTTGGTAAGGTCATCGTGGCCTCAGAACTTAGTTTTAATCATTAGGAATCCTTGGTAAGGTCATCGTAGCCTCAGAACTTAGTTTTAATCACTAGGAATCCTTGGTAAGGTCATCGTGGTCTCAGAACTTAGTTTTAATCACTAGGAATCCTTGGTAAGGTCATCGTGGCCTCAGAACTTAGTTTTAATCATTAGGAATCCTTGGTAAGGTCATCGTAGCCTCAGAACTTAGTTTTAATCACTGGATCCTTGGTAAGTCATCGTGGTCTCAGAACTAGTTTAATCACTAGGAATCCTTGGTAAGGTCATCGTGGCCTCAGAACTTAGTTTTAATCATTAGGAATCCTTGGTAAGGTCATCGTGGCCTCAGAACTTAGTTTTAATCACTAGGAATCCTTGGTAAGGTCATTGTGGCCTCAGAACTTAGTTTTAATCACTAGGAATCCTTGGTAAGGTCATCGTGGCCTCAGAACTTAGTTTTAATCATTAGGAATCCTTGGTAAGGTCATCGTGGCCTCAGAACTTAGTTTTAATCACTAGGAATCCTTGGAAAGGTCATCGTGGCCTCAGAACTTAGTTTTAATCACTAGGAATCCTTGGTAAGGTCATCGTGGCCTCAGAACTTAGTTTTAATCAATCAACTTGTTGACTTAACCACATTCCAAATGACTGTGATATTACATTATTTTTTTTACCCTCAGGTTCACTATAACAGTAAATACTGAGATATTGTTTGTGTCTTCCTGAGTGAAGACCGAGAGGAAATAACTTTAAAAACTCCAATACATTTCATTTCTCGGTAAGCTGTCCAGAGTTATTATTAAGTAAACATAACTCTTCTCTCATCTCTGTTTTATATAGTCCGGGGGGGGGGGACCTTTCAGATTTGTCTCTTAATCTGTAGCAACTTTAATTTATAATCTCATTTAGCTTTTCTATCTCTTGTTTTAACCTTTAATGTGAGACAGTCTCACCTCTCTTGATACTTTTGTAAATTACTTTTGTATTGGACTAATTTATGATGTCTCTCACAGTACTATCAACGGCTCGGCACACATGGTCTACACACAGAGGTGCAGGTACGTACCCACAGCGGGGTATAAGGGGGGGGTTGATATGTACCTCGAGGAGGGTGTAAGAGGGGGGTGCCAGTATATACACCCAAGGGGCTGTAAGAGTGGTGCCAGTACGTACCCCCAAGGGGATATAAGAGAGGTACCACTAAGTACCCCCAAGGGGATATAAGACGGGGTGCCAGTTTGTAGCCCCAGGGAGGTACAAGGGGGTGCCGGTACGTACCTATGGGGGTAACTGGAGTATACCTGGAGGGAGTTCCGAAGGTGAACGTCCCCCATAAGGAGGTGCACGTATGTACCCCCATCTCGCGGCTGCCTCCACCAGAGGACACCACAGGGTGGGATGTCTTACTTTTTTAACACACCGGCGGTATCCCACTAAGGCAAGGTGACCTAAAGACTTAAAAAGAGAATGAAAGTTTTTCTTTTTAAATTTAGTAATTTATACAGGAGAAGGGGTTACTAGCCCCTTGCTCCCGGCATTTTAGTTGCCTCTTACGACACGCATGGAGATCAGAGGAAATAAAGAAGAACAAGAACTATTAAGAAAATAGATGGGTGTGTGTATGTGTGTGTGTACTTGCATGTGTAGTGTGATCTGAGTGTAAGAAGTAGCAAGATATACCTAGTGTCCCACATGTTTATGAGACAGCAAAAAGACACCAGCAATCCTGCCACCATGTAAAACAATTACAGGTATATCTTACATTATATTCATAAGTAACCATCTAGTACTCGCGCTTTTACACACACACACACACACACACACACACACACACACACACACACACACACACACACACACACACACACACGACATGTCATAATGGAAGGAATACTACATGACACACATGCCATGATGAAAGGAATAGATTCAGAAGTGTCGCTGTTCGCTGATGATGTGAAACTGATGAGAATACAATCGGGCGAGGATCCGCTAAGATTACAAGGGAATCGGGACAGACTACAAGTCTGGTCCAACAAATGGCTTCTGGAATTTAATCTCAGTAAGTGCAAAGTCATGAAGCTTGGGAAGGACAAAGAAGACCGCAGACGGGGTATAGGTTAGGGGATCAAAGGCTGCAAACGTCACTTAAAGAAACGGATCTTGGGGTAAGCATTATAACGAACATGTTCCCTGAGGCACACATCAATCAAATAACTGCTGCAGCATATGGGCGCTTGGCAAACCTGAGAATAGCATTTCGACATCTGAGTAAGGAATAATTCACGACATTGTACACCGTGTACGTCAGACCCATACTGGAGTATGCAGTACCAGTATGGAACCCACACTTACTCAAACACGTCAGGAAATTGGATAAAGTGTAAAAGTTTGCAACAAGATTAGTCCCGAAACTGAAGAGTATGTCTTACGAGGAGAGGTTGAGGGAACTCAACCTAATAACATTAGATTATAGGAGGGATAGGGGGGACATGAAAACGACGTATAAAATACTGAGAGAAATTGACAAGGTGGACAGGGCTCGAATGTTTCGGAGATGGGATACAGGAACAAAGGGCCACAATTGGAAGCTGAAAACCCAGATGAGTCATAAGGATGGTAGGAAGTATTTCTTTAGCCTTAGAGTTGTCAGGAAGTGGAATAATCTGGAGAGTGAAGCAGTGGAGGCAAATTCCATACATAGGTTTAAGAAGAGGTATGATAAAGCTCATGGAGCAGGGAGAGAGTGACTCAGTATCAACCAGTGAAGAGGCGGGGCCAGGAGTTATAACTCGACCCCTGCAACCACATATAAGTGACTACATATAGGCGAGTACATACACACACACACACACACACACACACACACACACACACACACACACACACACACACACACACACACACACTTGCCTCTTGTTTGTTACTCGTGTAATTTTTGCATGCAGAGGAGTATTGCTATTATTGTTGTATTTGCCCCATGTACTAGATGAGAGAGCAGGTGAAGATGGTGTCTCCTGCACCTGCCAGGTGGCAGCAACCCTCACACTAGGTGACAGATATGACCACTGCCCTCCCCACAACAATCATATTTACATATATAAGAAAGTCTGGTGTGACGTTCTTGTCATCCCTCACTCAGGGGTGTGATGAAGAGGGGAGGCTGAAGGGGAACAAGCAGGGAGAGAGAGAGAGAGAGAGGGGGGGGGATGAAGAAAGGAAGTTACGATTGTCTACAGTTGTATATAGGTTTGGGGGATTTCTAGATTTGTCCATTAATTCTGTGGTTACATACATGTACGGTTAGTTACCATTTTTGTCCTAGGCACATGTCGATTAGGCACTAGGCCTGTTGTATTGTATGTGTGTGTGTGTGGTGTGTGTGTGTGTGTGTGTGGTTGTGTGTGTGGAGGGAGCAGGTGTGTGTGAAAGGGGAGCAGGTGTGTGTGAAAGGGGAGCAGGTATATGTGGAGGGGAACGTGTGTGTGTGGAGGGGGAGCAGGTGTGTGTGGAGGGGAGCAGGTGTGTGTGGAGGGGAGCAGGTGTGTGTGGAGGGGAGCAGGTGTGTGTGTGTGTGAAGGGGGAAGCAGGTTTGTGTGGAGGGGAGCAGGTGTGTGGAGGGGGAGCAGATGTGTGTGGAGAGGGAGCAGGTGTGTGTGGAGAGGGAGCAGGTGTGTGTGGAGAGGGAGCAGGTGTGTGGGAGAGGGAGCAGGGTGTGTGGAGGGGGAGCAGGTGTGTGGAGAGGGAGCAGGTGTGTGTGGAGGGTAGCAGGTGTGTGGAGAGGGAGCAGGTGTGTGGAGGGGGAGCAGGTGTGTGTGGAGAGGGAGCAGGTGTGTTGGAGGGGGAGCAGGTGTGCGTGGAGGGGGAGCAGGTGTGCGTGGAGGGGGAGCAGGTGTGTGGAGAGGGAGCAGTTGTGTGTGGAGAGGGAACAGGTGTGTGTGGAGAGGGAGCAGGTGTATGGAGGGGGACAGGCGTGTGTGGAGGGGGAGCAGGTGTGTGGAGAGGGGCAGGTGTGTGTGGAGAGGAACAGGTGTGTGTGGAGGGGGAGCAGGTGTGTGTGGAGGGGGAGCAGGTGTGTGTGGAGAGGAGACAGGTGTGTGTGGATAGGGGGAGGAGAGCAGGTGTGTGGGTGGAGGGGAGCAGGTGTGTGGGTTTAGGGCAGAGGAGAGCAGGTGTGTGGGTTTAGGGCGGAGGAGAGCAGATGTGTGGGTTTAGGGCGGAGGAGAGCAGGTGTGTGGGTTTAGGGCGGAGGAGAGCCGGTAATGTTACAAGTGATATTTTGAGCAGTAGGGTGAGGCCATATGAGGGTGAGGTCTGACCTGATCTGCCTTTCAGTCCTATGGCCCAGCCGCCCAACCACCAGCTCTGCCACCAGCCCTCGTGACCGGGCCTTGCGGCTGGCGTGATTGAATTTACCAGAGTTCCTTGGAAGAGATGGAGAGTCCACGGTCCAGCGAGGATGATCACATTTGTTACCACGAGGAGGAGGAGGAGGAGGTGATGGCTGCTGCTGCTGTTGCCGCGGCGGCTGTGGCTGCAGCTGCTTTGGCTGTTGCTACTGCTGCTGGAGCGAGGGGTAAACCCAAGGGATAATAGGGAGCCCCTATGGGGTGATTGGGGAGGCCTAGGGGGGAGGGAAGGGGGAGAAAATGAAGGCAGAGGAAAGAACTTAGTGGGTGAGATGGGAGACTAAGGGGTGAGAGGGGAGATGAAGGGGACAGATGGGAGAGCAAGGAGTGAGTGTGAAAGACAAGATGAACCATAGAATAGATAAAGGTAAAAAAGTTAGGTGGTGTATTGAGGCAGCTTTGGAAAGAAGGAAGTTCATGTCTGGAGGTTAACAGGTTATTGTATCAGAGTATAGTGTGTGTTCCGTTGATCGGTGCATACTTAAGATGAAAAACTTATTTGCCTGTGGTTGATTCCAACGCCTACCTTGGCTGGGCGCCAAAGTATTGACCAGTGTGGCATGACATGTATAGTACTGTACTTTTTTCCCCAAGACTCGTAAGTTCGAGTCTCCTCTGGTCTGAGATTAACACGTGTATATGTATATATAGGTTGGTAGATAGTAATTGCCCAGGGAGGTACTACCGTCCTGCCAAGCGAGTGTAAAACGAAAGCCTGTAATTGTTTTACATGATGGTAGGCTTGCTGGTGTCTTTATTTTCTGTCTCATACACATGTAAGATTTCAGGTACGTCTTGCTACTTCTACTTACACTTAGGTCACACTACACGTACATGTACAAGCATATATATATACACACTCCTCTGGGTTTTCTTCTATTTTTTTTTCTAGTTCTTGTTCTTGTTCTTGTTTATTTCCTCTTACCTCCATGGGGAAGTGGAACAGAATTCTTCCTCCGTAAGCCATGCGTGTTGTAAGAGGCGACTAAAATGCCGGGAGCAAGGGGCTAGACTCTTCTCCTTTAATTGCTAAATGTAAGGAGAAACTCTTGTTTTTCCTTTTGGCACCCCCTCGTGGTACACATGTTAAATAGAAAATTTATATTCTATATATGATACCTGTGATAATATATTGAAATATATATATATATATGTCTTGCGAATAGGTAAAACTTGCGTTTTTGGCTTAAATAGCAATGCTTTTCTTCCCTAATAAGGCAAGCGAAAATTTGTGTATGCAATAATTTCGCAAAAATTGCAATGAAATAAAATTGATTTCGTTAGGTTCAGAATAATTTTTGTTTATTATTTTTTGTAAGTTTATCTAAAATATACTTAGTTGGATTTAGGCTAAATTAAATTGCACTTGTTATAATAAGGTTAGGTAAGTTTTCTAAGGTTCTTTTGGTATAAAATTATTAATTTTTACATTAACATAAAGGAAAAAAAATGTCTCTAAATGTATAGGAGAAAATTTTAGAAAGGACTTAATTTTAAATGAGTTCATGCTAATGACCAATTTTACCTATTCGGTATGGCGCGCGCCACACCACCACACACACACCGCATATATATAATATATATATATATATATATATATATATATATATATATATATATATATATAATATATATATATATAATTTTTTTAACACATAGGCCGTTTCCCACCAAGGCAGGGTGACCCAAAAAGAAAGAAAAACTTTATTAATCATTCAACACTTTCACCATCACTCATAATCAGTCTTTGCAGAGGCACCCAGATACGACAGCTTAAATGTCCCTCCAAACTACCAATATCACAAACCCCCTCCCCCTTTAAATTGCAAGTGTTGTACTTCTCATTTCCAGGACTCTAACCATTTTCCCTGAATCCCTTCACAAAACATTACCCTGCTCACACTCCAACAGCTCGTTAGGTCCCCAAAACCATTAGCCTCCATTCACCCCTATCTAACATGATCACACACGCTTGATGGACGTCCAAGCTCCTCGCCCACGAAACCTCCTTTACCCCCTCCGTCCAACCTTTTTGGGGCTGACCTCTACCCCGCCTTCCTTTCCCTACAAATTTATACATATTTATACACTCTCCAAGTCATTCTACTTTGTTCCATTCTCTTTAAATGACCAAACCATCTCAAAAGACCCTCTTCAGCCCTCTGACTAATACTTATAGTAACTCTACATCTCCTGATTTCCATACTATGAATTCTCTGCATAATATTTACACCACACATTACCCTTAGACATGACATCTCCACTTCCTCTAGGCTTTTTCATTGTTGCGTCATACTGCATTATATTGAGAGCTAACATTATGTGTGTTTCAGAATTGACCTGAACAAGCTGCTAGATCTGCATGCCTATGACAAGTTTGATAATGACTTGTTTGAGCGATCCCTGTCAACAAGGTTTTTTGATGGTGCATCACATCTAGACCAGGTGAGTTCATGCCACTCTACCTCTACTCATGGCAGGCTTTCACCCATAAAGTGGGTTTGTCTTGATTCTACTGAAGGACTCTTGATCTAACTAACTTTCCCTCTCCCGTTTCCCAGGTGCTCTATGGCCTCTATGGTTTTAACACTTATCATTTATTATGGGAAAGTGCTACACCCATAGGAGTCTTTCAGTGCCTGGGAAATGGGAGGCAAACAGGCTCTTGATCCTGGGCGTAGTAGCTCAGAGGGCTTGCATCGAGAACTTTTCATCAGCACAAGGCACCTCTCCTTGATACTGGTGAGGGGTTCTTAATCCAAGAAATTTTCACAGTGCTTCAATTCCTTAAATAGAACCTGAATGCCTTTCAATCTCCAAGGCATTTTATGACCCCTATGAGTTTAGCACTAACCATTGATGTAATAATAATAATAATTATTATGTAATACATCCTGTAATACAGTCTGCCATTATTGCATTTTTGATAGATTAGACTGTTTACATTTTAATAAAGTTTTGTATCCAACATACATTTACCACTCAATGGGGTATGCACACTGTATATACACTGAAGTGTATCTCACTTTTTTCTCCAATATACCGGCCATCTCCCACTGAGGCAGGATGACCCAAAAATAATAATTTATACAGGAGAAGGGGTTACTAGCCCCTTGCTCCCAGCATTTTAGTCGCCTCATATGACACGTATGGCTTACAGAGGAAGGATTCTTCTCCACTTCCCTGTGGTATCTCAGTATATAGTGAACAAAAAGTATGTGTATCTTAGTTTATATACCCAGAATTACGGTCACTTTAATTCATGTTTCAGGAATGAAGGTATTGTTTATTTAAGCATACAGATGAAATGCAGCTTGCAAATGCTTGATTTAATGGATTTTCAGAAATACGAGACAAAAACTGATGGGTCATTTTATTCTGAAACAACGACCAAAATTCATTGTTTACAGAGTTGTCCATCATTTTTATGGTCAAGGCAAAACAGTTTCATCTCTAAGCATAATAATCACCATTATCAAACACTTGCTCCTCCCTATTAGTCCATCAAAATGAGAATTTACTGTATAGTCATGATTTCAACCTAGCAAAATAACATTTACCACTGCAGCGTGTTCAGACTGTGACAGTTGAGGTTGAAGGAAGCATGTCCCCATCAAGCATGGACTACTTTATTGATGTGCTCTTATGGGATCGTTCTCTTACTAACTCTGCAGGAGAACCTGTCAACATATACAGAATGAAGGTAAGAGGAACAGTTGAGAAAACTGGAAAGGAAGGTATTAATTGGAAAGACATATGGTTAGGTTTACATTTAGAATAGTATGGCCTATACAGGTTCAACCAATGCAGTATTTTAAAAATTTGCATTTGTAATTTCAATGTTCATACAAGTCAGCTATTCATATCATGTATTTAATGCTGTCACCCTGTGTACATCACCTTGGTTTGTTCTCGAGTACTTTCCTTAAAAATAGAAATACAGTATGTTGTATAGATTAAAAAATAATTTGTTGAATTTATGTATAACATTTTATATTACTCTATATTGACATACACTCAGTGGCCATTTTATACAGTACACCCTTCTTGTACTGGTTAGGGTCTTTTTTTGGCCCCCAGAACAGCTCAAATTTTTTGTGGCATGGATTCAGCAAAGTGCTGGAAAACATTCCTTAGAGATCCTGGTCCATGTCGACATGATATCATCATGCAGTTGCTGCAGATTTGTCAGCTGCACATTCAATCTGTGACTCTCCTGTTCCACCACATCCCATAGGTTCATGCAAAATTCTGACCCTACCATCTGCATGTTGCAACAGAAATCACAGTTCATCAGACCAGGCAACATTTTTTCAATCGCCAGCTGTCCAGTTTTGGTGAGCCTGTACCCACTGTAGCCTAAGTTTCCTGTTCTTAGCTGACAGGAGTGGAACCTAGGTGTGATCTTCTGTTGCTGTAGCCCATCCACCTCAAGGTTTCACATGTTCTGTGTTCATAACTGCTCTTTTACATGCCACTGTTGTAATGTGTTGTTATTTGAATTATTGTCATCTTCCTTTTAGCCTGAACCAGTCTGGCCATGCTCCTCTGACCTCTCTCATTATCAAAACATTTTTGCCCACAGAACTGCTGGTGTGCATGAAAATCTCAGGAGCTCGGCATATTCTGAAATACTCAAAGTACTCCATCTGGTAATAAAAACCATTCCATGGTCAAGTCACTTAGATCATATTTCTTCCCCATTCTGATGTTCAGTCTGAACAACAATTAAACTTTTTAGGCATTGAGGTGGTGCCACCTGTTTGGCTAATTAGATATTTGCCTTCACTAGCAGGTATACAGGTGTACGCAATGAAGTGGCCACTGAGTGTGTCTCAGATATGGCTGAAAGTATTCCTAACACTATATTCTTTTGTTCTAATAAAAACTGCATTTATTTTATAATCATAATTTCTTCTTTTAGTAAATAAAATACATCCATATGTTAGGACAGATTTTAAATGATATATTCTTTTCAAATAATACATATATTTTACATTGGTTGAGGCTCTTGATCAGAGGAATGGAGTTACCCTCCCTTTCCTTGGATCAAAGCAATTACCTCTGATTTTCTGGGTGCTGTGTAACTGCTATTGACTTGGTACATCCCAGTAAATACAATTATAACTGAGGAACTGGATACTATGTAATTAGAACAGATCATGCACCCAGAGTTAACATTGATATTTGACTTTGACTATAGGACATCAATTTAAAACCTTGCTCACACCTTGTGCATGCCTCAGTGATGAGGAATGCACAAGGTAAGTTTTTCCAGTAGTTAATATGCTTACAAATTTCATGTACATTATATATATTTTCTAGGGTATAGTGTCTATGATCGCAGAAAGTCAACGCTTCATGCTTCAAGTGGTGCAACAGCTGTATGAACTTGAACCAATTGGTTATTGGGAAATAGATTCACCCAGAACCTGCAAATTTGTTCTTATAGGTGAGGAGTATTGTAATTATAATTGATGATATTAATTGATATTGTTAGTAGCACCTTCTGGCAAGTTTTAGAACCCATTCTTTTTTGTTTAGCAGGAGAATGGGAAGGAAGGATTGTCATTTTGTGCTCACACAACTAAGAATGAATGGAATAACATGAACTGCAGACATTAACCGGTGCATATCATTATTATATCTAAGGCGGGCTGCTGAACCTCTGAGTGCCATAGAGAGTCTGGGGAATGGGAAGCAATTAAGTTTGACCTAAAAGGTAGACAGCCTCAAATTACTCATTTACAAGGTCATATGCAATTATCAAGACAGATGTCTTTATAATTACATACTTGTCGGTGTTAATCACCAAGTTTGATGGTCCAAATTCCTTGGATAAAGAGCCCTTCCCCAGTATCAAGGCACCCACATTAAGGGCTTGGATAAAGAGCCCTTCCTAGTATCAAGGTACCCCACTTTAAAGGTTTAATGTTATGTAATTGTTTCAGCAGACTGGTAGAAACATTTTAATAGCAAATTAGTATGTTTCTCTTCTCCAGGTTTATCAGCTTTCATGATGTTAATGTAAAGAGCATATTGACTGTGAACAAGCACCAGTTTCAACCTCAGTGACAAAAGAGAAGAGAGAGATGTACATGAATTGCTAAAGCAAAGTAAATAGTGAAGAAAAAATGAGCAGTCGACCCATACAACTGGGCAGCCTGATGACATTGTCATTGATGTGATTGTTTAAAAAGGCACAATACCGTGACGAACACACAAGTGGTCCAAGTGGGATTGAAATGTCATTATGTTTCTTTCTATGTGCAGGTTATTTGTGTAGAGTGCCATTGTTTGGCTACATCACTGACCAAGTAAGAGCAATATAAAAGACCTGGTAGTAAATTTTGTGACATATGCTAACAGCAAAATTGGAAAGAGCTTCAGAGTGTACAGAGTCTTTGACCACTGCTATGAGTGGTACTAGATATGGTCGTGTAACTCAGACTAATAGTCTCGGCTACATTTGAACTTTCTTCTTTTTGCCTCATCATGTGCTGTCACAAAAACAAAGCAGTTGAGTGATATTGTATGTGAGGAACCTCTGACTACAGTGGAACAACTCAACTTCCCTAGGAGTCTAGTACTTACTAGGAGAGCACCATACCTGCATTGGGTTAGTTACCCAAAGTATTGAGTTAGAGACCATACATGAAGCTGATGTAGTCATTGTTCACTGAATATATTCAGGTTGGAAAGTTTGGCAACAATATCTCAACATTACTCTTGCTAAATCATTTAAAAAGGGATACATTAGTATCTTACACTCGTGTTCAGCCTTGTAGCCAGCTAGTGGTAATTTAAAATTTTATGTGTAGGACTAGATTCTTTTTATTTTTTGTCAGTACACCCTATAAAATATTAATACAATATTGTTTCATAGTTCACATGTATAGCCCTTACAGCAATTTACTGTACATATTCCATATATTTTCAGGCTAGTATTACTATTACATCAATGAGAATGTGCCACTCTTAGAGGCCATACAGTGCCCGAAGAATGGAAGGTAATCAGATTTGATTTGAGGAAGAGAGTAGGCGTCTAATTCCTTGAATCGAGAGAATTCAAGGCACACTCTTAGAATGATGTTTGCAAATAATATTGTTTATTCTTTCCTAGTAAATAGTTAAAGCACATTTTATCAATGCGATTTTATTTTTGTTTGAATATTGCTTACGTGTAGATGGACATTACTTTCGAGGATAATTATATCTCTGGGCTAATATAGTAACTTTTTGTGTAGAGTGCTAGATGATGATCTGGTCCCAGTTCACTGCATGTTTTAAAATTTCTTTTTATTAAGCCTGTGCTGATCTGACTGAAGACTGATTCTTGTTGCAGGAGAGAACTTGGAGCAAGAAAAGATTGATGACCTCCTGAGAACTTGTGTGACACTCTCATCAGAGTTTTCTTGAATAAACCCAAACCTGGGGAAAGAAAGTGTTCTGGAGCTTTTCCTGAGATCTCTTGTGGTGACATCATCAGTGATGCCTCGAAGAATCGCATCCCAAAAATAGAGCCCTAATTCAGCGTGGCTTCCTTACATGTGTGTAGTTTGAGCAAAATACATCAGTGATGAACTGATGTTAAGTTTTGAAGTGTGTATGCAGTATTTTCCATAGTTATCTAAAATTAATGATTCACAACAGTGAGTAATGAGACACTTTAGTGATGGTGTATGTTTCATGTATATATATATATATATACAGTGGACCCCCAGTTTATGATATTATTTCATTCCAGAAGTATGTTCAGGTGCCATTACTGAACGAATTTGTTCCCATAAGGAATATTGTGAATTAGATTAGTCCATTTCAGACCCCCAAACATACACGTACAAATGCACTTACATAAATACACTTACATAATTGGTCGCATTGGGAGCTGATCGTAAAGCGGGGGTCCACTGTATATATATATTGCACAAAATGCATTTGAGTTTTCTAAAATCACACAGTATCTGGTGCCCGTCATATTTATTGAATATTTTATAAATTTTATAATTTGTTTTCCTTGAATATAATATTTGTTTGCTTTTCACATTTAGTTTTGTATATGATTAATTTTCATAGAGATAAACATTATTTTGTACATGGTATAAAATTTCATATCTAAGCTTCAAAATCTAATATAGGAGGTCCTCAGTATGCAAATGACCAAAGTTATACTTATGCAAATTGGGCACTTGGGAACAGATTAAGTTTTACAACTGCAGAGGAGCTGTTTGTACATATATGAAACATAATTATTCCTTTGTTGGCAAGTTGAAAAAACCAGGGTTGCAATTTATATGTTGTGGCCCTCCTGTCTGTATGCACAATTTACTGATATTCCACAATAAGGATTGAAAATAAATTAGTTAAAAAAAAAAAAAATTACCTAGTGAATTTTGTCCCTTGTGTCTGAAGTCTGTTGTACTGAGGACTTACAATATATATATTCTTCTTCTTTCAACGTACCAGCCGTATCCCACCGAGGTGGGGTGGCCCAAAAAAAGTTTCTCTTTTTAAATTTAGTAATTTATACAGGAGAAGGGGTTACTAGCCCCTTGCTCCCGGCATTTTAGTTGCTCTTTACAACCCTGGCTTACGAAGGAAGAATTTTTTTTCCCTTCCCCAGGAGTAAAGGAAATAAAAAGAACGAAAAAAAATAAAGAAAACCCAGAGGGGGGTGTGATAATACCCTTGAAAAGTATTTTTAACAGACCTAAGTGTAAGTAAAGTAGAAAGGGACCGAAATCTTGCATTTTTTTGAGACAGAAAAAAAGGACCCCACAATCCTCCCATTATGTAAAAACAATTAAGGTTTTCTTTTTTACACTACTTAGCAGACGGTAACCCTTCCGGGGCAGTTGTGTTCCAACCTACAAACCTGGAAATTTTAATTTAATATTAATCTTTTTTCCTTTCAAACATCGGCCGATCCCCCCCCAAAGGGGGGCCCAAAAAGAAAAACAAAGTTTCTCCTTTTACATTTATAATATATACAGGAGAAGAGGTTACACCCCCTTGCCTCCCTGCATTTTAGTCGCCTTTACAACACGCATGGCTTAGGGAGGAAAAATTCTATTCCATTTCCCCCGGGAATAAGGGGAAATAAAAAAGAATAAGAACAGAAAAAAAATAGAAGAAAACCCAGGGGGATGTGGTATATATATATGCCTTACATATTAAATAAAATTAATATATATAATGCCGTATAGGTATAGGTTGGTAGACAGCAACCACCCGGGGATAACCGTCCGCCAAGGAGTGTAAAACAACCTGTGATTGTTTTAATGATGGAGGATGCTGATTTCTTTTGTCTTCCATAATAGCAGATTACAGGCAGTCTTGCTATTTCTCCCCTACACTTAGGTCACACACACATACGTACACATTTATTTTACAAACTCCCTGAGTTTTTTTTGATTTTATTTTTATGTTCTTGGTCTTATTAATTTTTCCCTTTTTTAAACCTGGGGAAGTGGAATAAAATCTTTCCTCCGAAAACCCCCATGCGTTTTGAAAAGTCAACTAAAAGCCGGAACAAGGGGTGTAACCCCTTTTCCTTAAAGATTACTAAAAAGAATAAGAAGAAAAAAATTTGCAAAGTGGGAAGTCTGAATGTGGTGGTTTGGCGATGATAAGAAAGAGATGATTGGGAGTTTGAAGAAAAAAAGCGGATGTCCGGCTTTAAGTGAAACAAAGCGAAGGGGGTGGGAAGTTTCAGGGGAGAGGAAAAAGGGATTGGGTCGGGGGTTTCAAAAAGAGTTAGAACTAAAAAAGGAGAGCAAAAAATTTTTGAAGGATAAGCTATGGCGGAAAAGAGGGACTATAAATGTTTTAATTCAAGGATTTGTGGATAAATAAAGATTGGATGTGAAAATGGGTTTTATAAAAAGCGTGTATGCACCGAAGAGGAGAAGTGTAGAGAAGAGGAGATTTTTGGGAAAAGTTGAGTAAAAAGCTGGGGAGTTTTAAATCAAGTTGAAGAAAGGGTGGGGGGGGATTTCAATGCTAAATGGGTAAAAATGTTATGGAGGGAGTAGTAGGAAAATTTGGGTGCCAGGGGTAAATGAAAGGGGGAGCCTTTAATTGAGCTATGTGTAGAAAAAAATTTGGTAATAAGTAATACATTTTTTTATGAAAAAGAGGAAAAATAAAAAACGGGGGAAAGATGTAAAAAGTAATGAAATATTTTTTGGATTATTTTTGGGTGGATAAAAGGGGGGGTGGGCCCAGGATGTACTGTTTATAGAGGGACAACTGAATATCGGATCTTTTATTTAGTTGTAGCAATTTAGAGTAAAGGTAGATGGGAAAAGGGAAAGGGGTGGCAACAACAAGTAAGAGGGAGGGGAAAGGTAAAATAAGGGGGAGGAAGTTCGGGTGAGATATAAGCACTAGGGCAAAAAGGGTGGGCTAGTGCAAAGATATAGTGGGGGGTTGAAGGGGGTTGGAATAGTTTTAAAATGCGTATAAATGGGGGCAGAAGTTTGTGGTTAAGGGGGTGGGGCAGGGGGAAAAGGGGAGTGATTGGGGGGAATGAGAGAAAAGGGGGTGTGTAAAGAGAAAAAGGTTTCTTTGAAGGTTTTTACAAAGCAGAAGGGTTTAAGAAGAGCAGAGTATAGGGGAGATAAAAAAAGGGAAAAAAGGGGTGTGAAGATGCAAAAGGAGAGCAGTGATGAGTGGGAGAGGCACTGTCAAAAAATTTTTAATGAAAATAAGAAAAAATTTTGGAGTGATTTAAAAACAAGTTAAGAAACCCTGGGGAAAATATGGATTTGCATTAAAAACAGAGTAGGGGGTTAGTAAGGGGGGAGATGGAGGTTTTGGGGAGGGCGAGAATATTTTGGGAACTTTTAAATTTAAGGAAAAAACAAGGCAGTAATTTATGCACTGGTCGGGGAGGTATACCACTTTTGGATTAAGAAGAGAAAATGTAAGTGGGGGGGAGGTACTTGGGGCATTCTAAAATAAAAAGGGGGTAAAGCAGCGGAAAATGATGGGTAAGACAAAATGTTAAAAGCAGGGGGGTATGTGTTGGAGTTTTGGTATTTTTGTTTAAAAAATGTATGAAGGGGGGAAGGCCCTGGGGATTGGGGGAAGCATGTATGTCCCTTTTAAAAAGGGAAAGGGGCAAAAAGACTAAAAATATAGGGGAAAATAAGCTACGAGTATACAGAAAAGTGACGGTGGGGTTAATAATTAAAAGAATTAGAGGTAAGACAAAAATGTAGGATTGCGGATGGAAAGGAGGTTTTAGAGGGGGTAGGGGATGTTAGATCAGGTTTTTTACATTGAAGCTTTAAAAAGAAGATTTAGATAAAATAGGGAAGTTTTTATTGCATTTATGGATTTAAAAAGGCATATGATAGGGGATGGGGGACAATGTGGCAGATGTTGCAAGTATATGGAATGGGTGGAAGTTTTAAAATGCTGTAAAGAGTTTTTATGAGGATAGGAGGCCAGGTTAGGGTGTGTAGAAGGAGGGAGAATACTTCCCGGTAAAAGTAGGTCTTAGACAGGGATGTGTAATGCACCAGGGTTTTTTAAATTTTTTTTTAAGTGGGGTTGAAAGGAAGTAAAGCTAGGGTGTTTGTAAAGGGGGGTGGGTTAAATTAGGGGGAATAAATTTTCAAAAGGGGAAATTTGACACAGTTACTTTTTGTGATGTACTGTGTTTTATGGAGTTTCAAAAAAAAAATTAAAAGGTTAGTGGATTTTTTTGGGGAATGTGTATAAATGAAAAGTTGAAATGAACATAGAAAAGGTAAGGGGGATAAAGGGTGTCAAATTTTTTGATAAAGAAAAATTGGATATAAAATTGGGGGAGGAGGAGTAGGGAAGAAGGGTGAATTTTTTTTCAGAACTTGGGAGTTGACGTGTCGGCGGATAGGTTAATATAAATTGATGGGGGAAAAAAAAAGGTGAGGGTGCGTTGAGGTATATGGGGAGTCAAAAAAACTTACTATGGGCAAAGAAGGAAGTATGAAAATAGTAGTACCAACATCTTATATGGGTTTGAAGTTTGGTGGAAATGCAGCAGGAGGAGACGGTTGGAGGCGTGGAGATGCCCCTGTTTAAGGGAAATGTGGGGTAAATAAATAGAAAAATTCGGAGGGGGGGAATTAGGAGAAGGGTGGATTAATAAAAGTATTAGTCAGAGGGAGGAGGGGTTGTTGGGGTTTGGTTTGGGTCTTTAGAGAGAATGGATCAAAGTAAATACTGGAAAGCATATAAATCTATAGGGGAAGGAAGGGGGGGTAGGGGTGTCCCGAAAGGGTTTTGGAGAGAGGGGTAAAGGAGGTTTGTGGGTAAGGGGGGTTGGACTTCCGCACGGGCTGAGCGTGTTAGATAGGGGTGAAAAGGGAGAATGGTACTTGGGACCCCGGGGTCGTTGGAGTGTGGGAGGGTAATATTTTTGAAGGGGGCAGGGGGAAACCGGGGTTATTTTCATATGTTTGGACTTGGTCCTGGAATGGGAAGTACAATGCCGCACTTAAAGGTGGGTTTTGGGTATTGGCGTTTGGGGATATTTGTGTTCTTTTAGTTTTCTTCAAACTTTGTATTCTGGGGACCTCTGCAAAGCAGGATAATGTGGGTGTGGTGAAAAGGTTTTTGTGATGAAAGTATTTTTTTTTTGGGGTTTTCTTTTTTTTGGGTCACCCTGCCTCGGTGGGAGACGGCCGACTTTTTGAAAAAAAAAAAAAAAAAAAAAAAAAAAGATTGTAGTGTGACCTAAGTGTAAGTAGAGGGGTGTCAAAAAAAAAAAAAAAAAAAAAAAAAAAAAAACCCAAAAAAAAAGCAAAAAAAAAAACCCCCCAAAAAAAAAAAAAAAAAAAAAAAAACGGGGCCCTTCCCCTTTCCAAAAGGTG